CAAAAGATCTGCTTGCATCCCAGGTGCTAGCTTTCTGCCATTTTAACTATGTCTTATGTGTGCAGGCTCGTGAGGCTGTGGAGATGCGTGCCCAGGTGGAGAGGAAGATGGCTCAGAAAGAAAAGGAGAAGCATGAGGAGAAGCTTCGAGAAATGGCTCAGAAAGCCAGGGAGAGAAGGGCAGGCATCAAAACCCATGTTGAAAAAGGTACATTTCTTTGTTATTAAGATGCTATGGGTTGGTTTTTGTTTTGGTTTTTTTTTTTTAGCACTCTCTGAAGTGTAGGTTTGGAGAAATAACCCAAGAACTTAAAATACATAAATAACAACTGTAATTTCTAAGGATGACATCTGTTATTCATGTATTTCCCTGATCAGCCAGTGAATTTAGTTAATTCAGTGGCTGGTCTGATGGGATCTGAATTTGAACGTCACAGCACTGTGTCAGTGTATACAGGTTTGGGAGACTGTTTAGAATTTCAGAGTAGTTAATGGATCAGTACAAGTAATGGCTTTCATGGACTGTTCTAATTAATTTTTTTTTTTTTTTGAGAAAAGGCTTGTTGCAGAGGAAGAGCAACTTTGTTTACAAGAACTAAACCATCTTTAAGTTTTCAAAGATGGTAAATGCAATATTGTATCTCTTGCATTGTTTTAACTGGTCTTGCAGAACTGTAGTTCTGTTGGCCACTAGGCCCAAAAATTGCTAACCTAACTAAATCATAACCATTATGATAATGATTGAAATGACATTTCAAAGATCAAGATGCTGAACTTACAGAGTAGTTATGATCTCCCATTACTAGTAAAAGGTGGAGGATATGGTCATATAATGTGAAATCCTGCAGCTGGGATGGACTAACCTCTTCCCAACAGGCTGGGGACTGGCCAGCTGGAGAGCCACTCTGTTGGAAAGGACCTGGGAGTCCTAGTGGACAATGTGCTAAACGTAAGCCAGCGGTGTGCCCTGGCAGCAGTGATGCTAAGGGCATACTAAGCTGCATCTGCAGGAGTATAACCAGTAGGTCAAGGGAAGTAATCATTTCCTTTTACTGGTGACCTGTTAGACTGTATCTGGAATACTGGGTGCAGTTATGGGCCCCCAGGTACAAGACAGACATTGATAAATGGGATTGAGTTCAGCAGAGGGCCACCAAAACAGTCAGGGCGCTAGAGCGTCTGCCCAGTGAGGAGATGCTGAGAGAACGAAGCTTGTTCTGCCAGGAGAAGATAGGCTTTGGGGGGACCTAATGGAAGCTTTCCCATACCTACAAGGAAATTGTCAGGGCTCTTCCCTAAGCTTCACAGTGGAAGAATGAGACAGTGGTCAAAAGTTGAAGCAGGAGGTTCCAAGTACGTGCAAGGAGAAAAATTTTCACCATGAGGACAAGAAGCAGCGGGAACAAGTTGCCAAGGGAGGCTGGCAATCTCTGTCCTTGGAGTTTTTCCCCAGCTGAGTGGACAAAGCCTGAGCAACCTGGTTTGAATTCAGCATTGATCCCGCTTTCAGCGGGAGGTTGAATTAGAGACTCCCTCCCAACCTGAGTGAATCTGTGGTACTGAGTCACAGAACGTTCTTCAAGGTACTTAGATGCCTCCGTGTTCGAATGCTATTTTCACACTTAAGAGATAAAAGTATGATATGATCTGTAGGTTTTTTAGGATATTGATTCCTAGATGGACAGGTATTCTAAGCTCTTGAAAGTGGAGAAAACATAGTTGTTGGCTATGTCTGCTTTAACTGTCTTGTCAAGGACAGTTAATTGCTTGTGGCATAAGAAAGCTGTGTCTTTCCATGTGTTCAGTTTGGTTAAAGTGTAACATTTCAAATAGTCCTAAGGGTCACTTCTCTTCTGTAAAAGAATACTGAATTGAATCACTGTGCCAATGTCTGTGGCATAGTTAATTCAAACTTTAAATATTTGTCTGTAATGAGCAATCTTGCATTTGTTTAGAGGATGGCGAAGCTAGAGAAAGAGATGAAATCAGACATGACCGGCGCAAAGAGAGACAGCATGACAGAAATCTTTCCAGGGCAGCCCCTGACAAAAGGTGAGTCACAGAAGAAAGCTGCTTTATTCCTGAACTGACAGAGGCTTCCCCACTAGGGAAACTATTACACCGGGCTTTTGCCTTTGCTTCATGCGAGTGCCTGAATTTTACCTTGTGGAGATATTCGGTGTTGGACACCGGAAACTGGTATTCGCCGTTCATTCATCGTATAAAATAGTATTATTGTGTTAGAGTACTGCAGTACACTCTTCTAAATTTAGAATTTTCCAGATGAATGGGGGAGTGGGGGGTTGTTGGTTTTGCATGGGTTTTTCTTTAGCAGAACTTCAGTATATTCAGATTTAATTAACATGTTGACAGCAAAGGTTGAAAGTCAGTGAGACCAGAGTATCATTAGTGGCTTTGTTTCTTGAAGCTGTTCATTTGAAGTAAGCATAGACTTGAGTGTAGGCTGAAGTATCTTGTTTGCCCAAGCCAGTGAGATTTCTGAGCGCAAACAGTTTCTGGAGGCTTAAAATCTCTGATATCTTAAAATTAGATTGCTCGGCCTTCCCAGAATATAATTACACTGGTTCTTGCAAAAAATAAATATGACATTTTAGACCAAGTCAGCTTGATGTAAATTGCAGATAGTGGAAAGCAAATTTAAATGTCATGCCCAGCTGAACATAACTTTCCCAAATGTTTCCTTTGCCAGGAGACAAATTTTAAATGTTAGCTAGTAAGGAAGGGCAATAGTCTGGCTCCTGAGGCAAATTGTTAGCAACTAATACAGGCTCAGGTTGTGGTTGAGCATGTCAACAAATACGGTTTACTGACCTAATAAAACTTAAAATTTTTAATTCAGGTCAAAGCTGCAGAGAAATGAGAACAGAGATATCAGTGAAGTTATTGCCTTAGGGGTACCCAACCCCAGGCCATCCAATGAAATCCAATACGACCAGAGGCTGTTCAACCAGAGCAAGGTAAAAATACCTTTTCATAGCTGTGTAGCTTTCTGTGAGAACATGCTTATCCTTCCTTAGTGGGCATGCCTAGAATACTAAAGGGATCCTGTTCTCATGGTTGGTGTGGATACACTCTGAAAGAAGTCTCTAAGTAACTGGTTAGGAAACTATTGATCTCCTTTATCCATAGCTGATGCAACAAAAATGGAATATTCTGAATGTCTAACTGGATTAAAGTGTTTTTGTTGTGGTTTTTCTCACTGGGGAGTGGGGAGAAAGAAGCAATTTTGCCTTCAGGCTGCAGTGACCTCATTTTCTTTTGCACAAATGTACTGACTAAGGGAAATCTGCTCTGAGAGAGAAGCAAGTAAATACTTTCTATTCCCATTATTGCTTCTGTTAAAAATCCTTCTGAAGATATAAATAGTTAACAGCAACATTTATTTTCCCTGAACTTCAGAGATGAAAAAGTAGATTAGGCTTCAGAAAGTCCCTGAATAGACCTGCAGCTTGTCAATCATTCTTTTTCATGTTGCCAATGAAAGACTTGCAGGCAGAAGGGAAAGCTGATGAATCAAAAGTGAGCAAGCAGGCACTTCTACTTTCACAGTTCACATAAGCCTTGGTGTGATTTGGATCAGTCAGCTTAAATCATGTTTTCCAGAAATTCTGAATAATATAAATTCTGCATGGTTGTACTTGGCTATTATAGACAGCTGTACTTGCAGGGCAGACTGAAATGATCCATTATTCTGAAATACGAATGGCCTGTAATCCTTCCTGTTGCTTTCTGGAAGAGTAGAAGTGGCCCAGACTGAGGCTTGTAACAATTGCGTCCTCTGGACTTAATCCCAGACCCAGACCCACTCGTATCCTAATGAAGTGCTTGAACTCCTTTGAAGTCAACAGTAAATTACACAGTACTGCCTTTGTGTATCTGTATGACACCATCAGTGTATCTTGATGTTAAAATAAATTTTCTGAAGTTCTGCAGACCCGTCTGTGTTACACTGCTGTTCTTTCTTCTTCACAGGGTATGGACAGTGGCTTTGCTGGAGGAGAGGATGAAATTTATAATGTTTATGACCAGCCTTGGAGAAGTGGCAAGGATATGGCGCAAAACATCTACAGGCCAAGTAAAAACGTGGATAAGGACATGTATGGTGATGATCTAGAGGCTCGAATAAAGACCAATAGGTAAGAAAAGAAAGTTAAGACATTTTCTTCATCAGTACTCTGAAGTTACAGTCAACTGAGTATCACCTCTTCTCCTGCAGGTTTGTTCCTGACAAAGAGTTTTCTAACTCGGATCGTAACACCAGAGGGAGGGGCAGAGATGGACCAGTTCAATTTGAGGAGGATCCATTTGGTTTGGACAAGTTTCTGGAAGAAGCTAAGCAACATGGTGGTTCTAAGCGGCCATCAGATAGCAGCCGCCCCAAAGAACATGAGCATGAGAGCAAAAAGAGGAGGAAGGACTGAATACCTCTGCTCCTTGAGAGGTAAAGAAATGGACTACAAGCTTGGACTTCATGCAAAAGGCATTTTTAATATCGGCGGTGTATAGGGGGATGGCATTGTAACGCAGCAGTTCACAACTCTTGTCGTGTGGATATACGTACACACAGTAATTCTTCTACGTAGGACAGCTACCCCTGGAGAGTGGAGGAATGGAGACCACTTTGAAACATTTCAGAAGGGAATTATTCTCTAGCAAGTGCTCTGACTTTGCTGATTCCCTGTTGCCCAGCATCTCAGGGTAAGAATGTAGCCCCTTCCTACAGCTTTAGTTTTTGTAGGTAGCTAAAGCTTTTACTTTATCTGTTAAAAGCTTTCCTGCTGTATATAATTACTGTCTTATGCTGTAATGGATGCTAGGGAGTTTATGATTCAGTGTTTCTTTAGCGTGGCTATATAGTTTATTTGAACAAGGAGGGGAAACAGCTGGATTCTGTTTTAAAACAAATACTCATTCATAGATTCTCAGTAGTCTTTATTTTAGTTCCTTTACATTTAGTGAAATAAAGCCTCCTTCCACCGCTCACTCGCTTGGATTCTTTCTTTGACTGCGTCTTCTACGGGGCTGCTGTTTGAGAGCGAGCTGAAAACAATGGAAATTATTCAAATTAGTTAAGAAGGTTTGATATTTTTCATTTCTGATCTTCTAAAACATTCACACGGAAAGCAGAAGATGAGTTTATAACCGGTTCAGTTTTGTGAGCCATAACCACAACTGCTAAGCTCCTGATAGGAAAGTTGAATATAATTTGCACAGCAATTGCTAGTTGTATCAGCAAAGTGCATCTTGAAAGCTTGTGCTTTCACGTGGAACTAATAGAAGGTAACTGTCTAAACCTAGCCTAGAACACAGTGGGAGAAGTGCTCATGTATTTTGCTTCTAGAGAAGCTTGCATTTTTGAAGAAATGAAGAAAGCTAACTACTGCCTGCCTTCTGCTTTTTATTTCACTATAAAGAAGCCTCTTAGCTCTTGCACCTCTTGTAAGAGTACAGTCCTCGAAGCCTAGGCAGTTAAGTGAATGCAGTTATCTTACAGCTTCAAGAATAAAAAGCAGCAAAATAATTTCCAGGAAATTGACACTAAATACTCATCTATGCTATTCCAAGTACTTATTTTGATAATTGCATACAGATAACATCTTAGTTATTTTCAGCCCAGTTTATGAGGGATCAGCATATTGCCTGGCTTGTCACAGTTTAAGACTGAAGTCGGCAAACCGCTCCTTAATTTCTGCTTCCATTTCTGCACCACAGTTGTAACTCACAGTTCAGCTTTTCTTAGTAGGTACCAAAGTAACGACAACCAATGAAGATTTCTGCACTAGTACGAACCACGTCAGGCAAAATACTTTATCATAATCAACATACTGCATCCCTGAACTCTCTTGCCAATTCATTTTACTCTTACCATCTCCTAGCATTGAAAGTCTCAAAACAAGAAACTAGTTGTCAGAAGGATATTGAAGAACTCTTATTAATTATTCAAAGATGTGAATTGATCACGTCTGTTATACCAGCCTGCTTGTTGCTCATGGTTTCACTCTACTACTACTCCTACTCTGAGTAGCGAGGTCAGCTGAAGCACATGTAAGTCTACAAGAAAATCCCCTTAGTAATTTGCCCCTGTTTAGTGAACATACTAGATGCAAGTTTTTAATGCTTTTCCCGTGACACCTGTTAATTTATTAAGAACTTTGGGCAGCCATTGACTTACTGTCCTTTTGTCCTTATCTGTCAACACCACTGCATACTAAATGTTTGGAAAGTGGTGGGATGGCCATTCCTTTGGTCTATTTATTTGCTGCAGTGAAGCTAGGTGATGCAATTGTCTGGCTCTAACTGACCAGTCACTGACAGACACCTTTGTATGGGTACTAGACCAAAGGGTTTTAACTGACGGTGTACACTGTCTCTTGATACCATACACTGATGCACTGAGATTGCCAAAGTATCATATTTTTCCCTTTACTAACATTTAAAATGTTAAAGATAGCAAGTGAAAAAAAGCAAGCTACACTAAAGCTAATTTAAAGTTATCTTGAACACATGAAAGCAGGCAGCTGATTTGTCCTATTAGAAATGATAGCTGAAGAGAAAAAAAAAGAAGTTTTCACTAAAGTTCAAAGCTTAGCTTTACATTCTTTTGTCACCTTCCCCCTGCCACTCAACATCCAAATTCGATGTTGGACTCCACCTGCAAAAACCTGTATTACAAATAATAACTAGTTGCATGGCAGTTCCTGAACAGTTTTATTGCATTCATATTCCTTTAGCTTAGCATAGCAGGAGGTTTTGATGTCTGGTATGTGATCTCTGACCCCAACAAGAAGAGTTGGGGGGGGGGGGGGGAAAAAAAAAAGGGT